TATCCAAACCTGAACATTTTTGAGGTCAAACCTCTAGAAGTAATGCTGACCATTTACCAAAATAAATGCAATACTCTCTGCTGGTTCTAGCCAAAGGTCCATGTAGTCCAATGTGCAGTCTTTGGCAGTTATCTGCCAAAATGCATGATGCACAAATGTGACGTTCCTCTTCGCTAAGGTGGGAACAGTAATACATCTGCGTTCTACTAGGACCACTTGCAGTGTGCTTTGTTAGGACCCAATTCAGCAAGGGCTTCTCTATTTTATGTCCTGTGAGTAGCACTGACAATAATGAAAAAGCTGTCTGGACATGGTCCTGAGCAATCAGATGAAGTAGGTGTCTGCTTGAGCAGAGGGGTTGGACAGGATGACCTCTGGAGGTCCCTTCCAGCCTCAGCTGCTCTGTGGTTCTGTGATAACAGAGCTCCAGAATCAAACAGACTCATTAAGGCAGGGAGCCCTTGCAGTCAGTGAAGAGTGTGGTGTCAAGCCCCAAGGTTATACATCAACCAGCTGTGACATTTAACAGCACTATAACTTTTCCTGCAATAGAGACAGAAAGACTCAACTCTGCCCAGTGCTGAGTATATCTGGTGAGTCTTGGGTATCTTCATTACCCATTACCAATCACCTTCAAAAAAGTTCTTGGTATTCTAGAGTCGAATCTTATCTGTCTGAAGTCAGATTTCCTTTGCCTTTGGCAAGAAATGGATCAGGCCTTTTCAGAATGAGGCTGCAGCTTTGTAAAAATTATAGACAGATTTCACTTTAGCATGTAGCACAGCCCCCTTATGAAATCCAAGTAACAAACACATTAGGAAGTTTATGCTGCAGGAATACAAGAGGGGAAGATGACAGAGGAAGAAGTAAACTCATAGGAGAGAGATGGGACAAAGTAGAATACAGGAAAGAAGAGAATCAGGAGGAAAAGATGGGCAATGGAAGAAACACAGAGATGCAAACAAATGGGGGGATTGGTCTCTTTTTTTAACAAAAGGAAGAGAAATCTTCATGGGAACTTCCCCCTAAATCATTAGCATGCTTTTTGAAAGAAGAGGAAAGAGAGGAAAAGAGAAAGAGGGAAAAGGGTGTAGAGTAAGGGAGAGAGAGAGAAAGGAAGAGTGGAAGGAGGAGAGAGACAGAAAGGAAGAGGGAAATGAAGAAAAGAAAGGAGGAAAGAAGAAAGGAGGAAAAGAAGGAAGAAAGGAAGAAAAGGCAGGGAGCAAAAATCAGGGTGACTTCAGCATACAAGAGCATATTTAGTGATATACAGAGATGTGCACACCTGAAAATGCAAAGTCCTGCCTTCAGCATTTGTGGTAAGAGTCAAGTGCAGCACCATGAGAGCGTATGAAGCATTTTCCAGGCAATGCACTATCTGGGGAGAAAAAGAGTGTTTCAATTTTGATTTCAGAAATGTGAAAAGGAAAAACCCTGGAAAGATGCCTTAAAATCTGCTCCTTTCAGAAGAAAACCCTGACAGCAGCATCTTCTCACTATTACTTATAATCAGCAAGTGATCCTGCTCTCAAACACACCTTTCAAAATGTGCAACACTCTCTCTTACCAGCACTGGGTGCTGAACCTAATGAGCCCTTCCATCAGGACAGAGGCCAGCCTTCTCAAAGAGGTTGGCTCACATGAGGAATGCACAAGGATGGTCAAAGCCTGAAATTCAAGCTGGGCTTTTCCTGCCTCACACAACACAAAATGTGGCAGAACACAATAAATTTGTTGATATGTGTCAGGGCAGAAGACATAATTTTCCACTTCTCAGCACTCAGATTGAACCCCTGAAAAATCATCCTATTGACCAAATGTTCTTAAGATAACAAAATAAACAGAATCAACCCCAAAAGATTTTCCTTGTTCATCCTTTGCTTTATGATCCATGAGGCTACCCTTAATTTTCCTATTCTAACCATGAGAGCTAGAAAAATAGAAAAATAAAAATGAAAACTGAGTTCATGAAACAAGACTACCCCTGCCAAAGTCAAGTTGGCCCTGTGTGAGTTTCGGAGCCCACCCAGGCAGAGCCGCTTGCAAGACCCATGCCCAAGATCACAATGTACTCTGCAATTACAGCGCAATGCTGACAATACCATTTTGTCAGTAAAATAAGATGAAATAGTGCTGAAGACACATAAGGGATATGGGAGGGAGCTAGCTAAATAAAAGAAGCAATTTTGTTCACTAGTCTTTTGAGTAATAGAGCAGGCTGACAGAAGGGTTAGAGGATGGCACAGTATTTCCCTCCACAGATGTCACAGGGACACTCCTGCACGCGATTTAAGATCAATCTCTTGAATCAAAATGCCACCATGTACACTAATGAGCAAAAACTCAGGCAATGTCCGTCCCTGGGGCTTCTGCTCCCAGGTAAGAAGCTTGTCTCCATGCTATTGTAGAAACTCTCTTGGCAGAGTGCAGTGAGGTTGGTGGTATAACTTGCCCCCGGTTCACAAATTTCCATTTCAGACTTGCTGTCTCTGTCTTGGTTTCGGTCTATTTACTCGGAGCCATTTCTTAACAATGTCTAATTTCCTCAAGGAATCCCTCCGAGTCCCCTCTCTTAGAAATGCTGCCATATCTTTTTTTTTAATCACTGAAAGGCACAAATATCCTTCCTGAGCTCTCTTACCATCCAGCCTGATTATATACATAGATTTCAGTTTCCATACATTTTCTACACAGTAGGAGTTCCCAAAATGCAGCCTCTGGGGATATAAAGTGTGGCCCCAACTGCAGCTCAGTGAGATGAAAACAAAGCCGATCAGGTACTGTTTTTACTGTTAATGAGCCTAACCAGCAGGCAGTTATTACTCAGTCTGGAAGACATAAGTGGTTGGACCCATAGCACATTCATTTTTTATTTATAGTGATGCACGCTGAAATTAGAAGTATCCCTCCAGCAGCTGGCATTTTGCCAGGGCCTGACCAGCAGTATGATAAAATGTGAACATCTTGGAGATATGGAATGCCTTTTTGTTGCCCTTTTTTTTTTTTTTTTGATAGCATTCTTCTCCCCTCTTATCGCAACTCCCTCGACTATTAGAAGTGGACAATGAGGCTTAATTAATTTAGGATCCCAGCCCTTATTGAAAATGAAAGAAATTAGTCCTTTTTCTTTTCACTTGGTGAAGTACAACTCAAACATGAGCTGATCTCATAATAAAGCAAAGGCTCAAGCCTTCTGGCAAATAAAGGAGTAAAAATGAACCCTTGGACAAGAAACAAAAAGAAATGGGTTCTCGGAGAGGATGCATGTTATTATCTTGTTAATCTATTAATGGCAACTGTAAATACTTCACCCAAAATCACAGCGACTCTAAAGCATTCACTGGAGAGACTCACAAAGCCTGGTCAGGAGAATGCCACCTCAGGAACCTGCAGTAATTTGCCTCACCTTCCTAGTAAATCGGTTTCCAATCTAACCCCTCCTGAGTTAAAGTTACAAACCTCAATAACTGTGTGGCAGACTTGACAGCAATTAACATTACTTAGCTGCCAGCTGGATTTTAAAATCTCCCTTCCAAGTGATCTTGTTACATTGGTTTTAAGAGCAGCCTGCCAGGGTGCTGTGCTGAGGAGCTGGTCTGGCCTCTCAGAACTCGGTGGTATTATGCTGCTGGCTTCAGGGGGAAGCTGATAAATCAGTGACAGAGTAAGGGTAAAAGGCATTGAGCTGTTGTTCAGAGTGTGAGGCTTGGGGTTTTGTTTTGGGGTTGGTTTTTTTGTTATTGTTTATTTTGGTTTAGGGTTTTTTTTTTTTTGGGGGGGGGGGAGGTTCTTAATCTTCTTAGTGTTGGGGCATCACAGAAAGTGCTGTTGAGAATTCACATTTATTACCCTAGTTCTTTAGTCCTGTGCATTACTCACGCACAGGAAGGAACACAGTATGCTGCAAAGCATTCCTTAATCCCTCATACCTCGATTTGCAAACTTAGAAAGTTCTCTTTGACTTTTAAAGTAATTTTAAAAGCCAATAAATAAGAGTTCCGCTGAAAAATAACTTGCTGAAGTCAAACTCCCATCAGTTCTAAACCCAGCCCAGCTGTGCCGGTAGCTCAGCGCTTGGCTTGTGATGATCGATGGAGAATCAGGATCTACCCTATCCTGGCACTGGGACTCGTGAAAATTGACAAAGACGTTTGCTGCCCCTCTGCTCCCACCTGGAACAGGATGGAGCACGGCTGCTCTCCCCCTGACGCAGCCCTGTCTCTGGGCCGCAGGCTGGGCCTTCTCCTACGCCTCCTTCCGCTCCTGGCACCGATGAGGAGAACGGCGTACCCGGCGTTCCCACAGCGGGGTGCTCGCCGCTGGGGTGACGCACGACGGTGTCTGCCCCTTGCTCACCGCTCGCCTCAGCCGGGCAGGGCAGGGCAGGGCGAGCCTCCCGCGAGGCGTCGGTTGCCCCCCGCGGCGTGCCCGCCCCTCAGCGCCCATTGGCCGGCGGGCGGAGGCGGGGCGCGGCTCGGCGGGGGCGTGGCCGCCGTCAGCTGTTCGCGGTCCGCCCGGCGGCGGTGGCGGCAGTTCGGCGGTTGGAGACGCGGCGGCGGTGGTGGTGGTAGCGGTGGCGGCGGCTCCTCCCGGGACGCCTGTTCCGCTTCTCGGTGAGTGTCCGGGACGCTCTTTCGCCACTCGGGGCCGGCCCCTCAGGAGTCATATCTCCGGTCAGTGGAGGCACCAAGGCTGAGCACGATCGTGACAGGGAAGGCGATTGCCCCCGGCGTAGTCCCGGCCCGGGCGGGAGGTGTAAAGCAGGTTCTGTAGGGGGCCCCGCAGCGTCCCGGGGAGCGAGCAGAAGTGGGGTGCGGGCGGGCTGGTAATGAGCCCGGTGGACACCGAGAAGGCAGCGATTCGCTGGTGTAGGCAGTGGGTAATCACCGGTGCCAGTACCAGCCGTCCCGCCGGGCGCGGGTGTCCCGAAGGAGCCGCGTTTAACCCCGTCGGTTGGGAGTGAATCCGTGGGGCTGGGTCCCGGGAGGGGAAGAGTTAAGAGCAGTTGGCGGTGCCGGAGCGCGGCCGGCCAGCTTTGTTTTGGGAAGCTGGCACGCACGTGCGCGCTGAGCCCTCCCCCCGGCTCCCCGCACCAGCCTGTCAGCGGCTCGGCTCCGCGCGCAGCCCCGGGATGGGGGTTCGGCTGCGAGCTCCCGTGTCGGTGCGGCCGGACCCGAGCTCCCCGGTGCCGCTGCCCGCGGCGGATCCCGACGAACGGCGCAAAGAATCGGACCGTGTTGAGGGGGGTCGAGCAAAACCTGTTGCTCTCTAACCCCTCTTCTGCTGGGGTTCGGGCTGCCCCGGCTAGCTCGGTGTCCTTGTCGCACTTCCTTGCCCGTGTCCCAGCGGGGCTCTGCCGGATGAGCCCTGGCAAGGCTTGCTGAAAAGACAAAACACGTTCTCGCCCTGCCTCTCTCTCAGGTGACCGCGGTCCAGCAGCAGAGCTGGCAGGAGCTCATCGCTGCTGTGCCTAAAGGCCCGTAATTCCTTTCGGTGTGCTACTTTAAGCTATGGATGAGTATCTTACGAGTGCTGCGCCAAGACAGTTCTGCTGTCACCCGGGAGAGCCAGGCCAGCTGTGGGCTGGTACCTGTTCTGCTCTACAAACCCCTCTTTGGGGGTTGTAGCTGAGCTGAGTGAACCGCTGAGATGTCACAACTTGCACATAACCACAGTGCCCCCGAGTTACACCCTGCACACATCGTTCTTGCACTGCTCAGTCCCTTTGTCTCCTCTAGCGAGCTGGTGTTGTAAGTGCTGCTCACCTGGGGGGAAATGGGAGTACCAAGGGGAGCACTGAACACAGCCTTATGAAATTATTATTAATGTCTCCTTTAGGCCTGAAATTCCTCTTGCTAGTCTTCCGTTCTGTTAAATGCTTCGCAAACCAGAGCAAAGGAAGAGACAAGAAGAGTTGAATTTCACTGCCTTGTTTGGAACTGGGTGGAAATCCTGGAGATGGATCTCTTAGGAGTCTGTCTTCCAATTGGGTTAGATGCACAGGTAACAGTAAAGGGACTTGAAGCATTTTTGGTAAATCTGCTTCTAATCGGCATATGTTTGCAAAGAGCTCTGAAATAGTGATTTAGGACTTACCTTTTTTTCTCCTCAGCCATCTTTGTTCAGCTTTGTGCTGCAGCAGAGCTCAGGAGTGTTTCCTGTGGCAACTACAGGACTAAGAAGTCCTCCTTTAAACACTGACACCAGCAATGCTTTTTCATTAGTAGTAAGGTGAACTAATGCACTGACAGTGCATGTAAGCTTGAGGGTAAGAGGGGTAATGAAGTGACTGCGTTTCCAGGTTTGGGACATGTCTTAAGTTGAGCTAAGGGAAGAAATGAGAAGTTGAAAGTTGGCCCTTTTAGTGAGAAGTTATGGAAAGCTTCACAGAAATGGCTTTGCCAGCTCTCGAGTTTTGTAACCACTGGGGTTTCTTAAAAATCTGGCCTTGCAGTCTTGAGATTACAAGAGCCTTTCTTCATCAGTAAGTGATATATGGGGAAAAAAGTGAATGGGGCATACTATAAAGTTCAAATATGGAAGCAAAGCAGACCCAAAGAAACTATATGGCTATGGGGCAATTTGAAGGGTTGGGTTTACTTTTTAAGACAATGTTTTTTGAGTTTCTATGTGCTGAAGTTGGGGGTTGGCTCCCTCCTTGTGACCAGTTGTTGGGTTGGAGCTGTGGGTGGACTCTCAGACACGTGAACTTTCTCTCTGGGCTGGCACTTGAAACAAAGTCCTGACCTTCACCATTTGCCTCTCCTGCCCATGCAAATGGGCAGCACTGGGAGGGAGAGAGCCAGGCAGGCAAGGAAAAAAAAAGCTGTGTTTTGTTGTTGGAGCAGAAGGCATTCTATCACTGACAACATTCTTGTGTCTCAGCTGTTTCTTCAAATGTCCCTTTATTGCAGGAGCAATGGATCGCCCCAGCTACCTGGAAGAGGATTATTCTAGCCTGGATGGGCTGGACGATGACGTGTTTCACTCTGATGACTTTGGACTTGCAGGTCAGCCTGGTGAGATGACTGCAACTGGCATTTTCACACAGAACCAGTCCTACAGCTGTCTTCTGGGGAGGTTTCAACTATTCCCCCTCACACACTGCTGTGGTCCCGGTATCAGGCATCCTGAGCAGCAGGACAAGGCAACTCAAACACTCAGCCCGTCCTCTTCCAGTCAGGATGTTATGTTGCCTTGTGGAGTCACTGAAGAGCCCCGGAGACTCTTCTATGGTAAGAGCACTCCAGTGTCACCACCTTTGCAGCAAGGAAACTGTCCCTCTAGAACTTCCCCAATCAAGCAAGGTTTCTTTCATTAGGGCATTTTATTAAAGGACTGAAATGATTTTGCTTTGGTCCTACTCCCTCAGGAAAGATAACTTGTATTTTCTTACCCTTGCTTGTCCACTGCAGGAATCAGGCACTTGCTCTTTGCTTCCGCTGTCTTCAATATTCCCACTCTTGTTCTTTATGGCTTTACTCTGTCATGTTTTATGTTATTGCTAGATGTTTAAGTGCTCACCATACCTTGTATCCTACAATTTGCCTACATTTTTTAACTTCTAGTGGTCTCATCCACATAGGGAGACTAAGAAGTTTTCACTGGAGAGAATGAAATACAAAAATTTACACTTAGCAGGACAGCTTTTAGGCTCTTTATTGGAGTTAAGTTGTTGGACAAGTAGCACATCCATCCAGTATTTCGCTAGTAACTGATGGGATACCACACCACTCTGTGTATCTGATTCAGCTTTAATTCAGATCAGTCTCACTAAATGCCAGAGAACTGAGAAAAGTCTGGCAGAAAAGATACAGCAACCTTTAATGGGAGACAACTTGTGGCACAGATCTCGTAAAACTGCAGAATTGTCATAAAAAAATTGTCAATTGTCATAATTGTCACTTGACTGAACTATAAACAAGCAAATGGAACCAAGCGTAAGAGCCTGCCAGTCATTTGATTATGGGAAGCAACACAATGCTCTGCTTAATCAATACAAGTCTTTACTGCATGCTTATGGTACACAGTTATTGGGCTTCAGGAATTGGACTTCAGCGTGACTCGAAAATTTAGGATTATGTGCAGCTCTTCCCTCTGTAAAGTGTACAGAGTAGAAAGGCTATTCTTTGAGCTGGAAGAATGACTCTTCTGACATCTGTTTTGTAGGGAATGCTGGTTACCGTTTACACATCCCTCCAGCTGACTTTGTGTTGGATCCGCACCTCCAAGAGGAGCCTCAGGAAGGTCAGCGGGAAGCGCGTGCCGAGGTGCAGATTGCACGGAAGTTGCAGTGCATTGCTGACCAGTTCCACCGGCTCCACATACAGAGGGTAGGGTGTCTCTGCAGGGGTAGGTGGGGGGTAGCTACCCAGGAGCTCTGCTCTAGAAGACTTGCTCCAGGCATCAGCTAAGCAAGGCTGTTGTCTAAGGCAGCAGACTGACAGCAGTGATGGAATGGCAGCAGTATCCTGATGGATTTTGCTTATGCTAGATTGCTGGCTCATCTTAAAGATAGCAGGTGGAGGGAAGAGAATGTGTGGGATTGTATTTACTGCCTGGGAAGATAGCTGTTCTGCATTAGCTGCTGCTATTCCAGCTCTTTCAGCTCATCTGCAACAGGGTCACTGAGGCTTTCCCCATGGATCTCCCCCTTGCTTCTTATTACAGCTTTTACTCTTCTTCTCCACTGTCCTCACCACCAGCATCCTCTCTTCTGTGGCCCAATTGGCCATCTGTGACTAATACCAGCTCCTCATCTTGAAGATGACAACAAGCCTGGAGTCTTTTTTGACACTCCTTGTCATCTAGGGGTAGTTCTCTTGTAGTGTATATTTAGATCATGGTAGACTTGCTAGCAGCTCCTCTGTCAGACTGTCCTAGCTAGTGCCTCAGACTTGTGACTAACTTCTTCACAATAAAAGACAGCTGTCATATGCCATCAGGTCTGAAAACCGCACTCTAGAATCTTGATTTGTTTTCTTAGGGAAAAAAAAAAAAAGCAAACCCGGCTCTTCAAAGAAACAAAGCAAAACCAGCATCCCTAAATCCCTTGATGCTTTCTGCCTTGCCCTCCTTCCCCTGCTGAGTTGAGGTGGAAATCCCAGGTCATGCAGTTTGTCGGAGTGGGAGGTTTGGCAGTAGGCAGAACTTTGCCACTTCAATGCAAGGCCAGCAAGGAGAACATGTATCTGTTTGCATATGAAGAGGCGGACACTTCATGACTTTAGAGAGGGACAGAAGGCTTATCTCACCCCAAGTGAGCTGGTGCTCCGTTAACTGTGGGATCTGTTGCAATTCTCCTCAAGGTAAGTGAGGATCTCTGTCCTGGTCAGAAAATGTGGCTTGTGGCTGTGCAAAGGTTTGGTCCTCGCTGTGTCATCAGAGAGAGGAGGGAGTTCTGGAACTCTTCATCTCCGAATAGCAGGAGGATTAAAGCAGCTGTAACAGGAAGGTTAGCCTGTGGAAATGCAGATAGAGCCATGAATGTCATTTACCAAATTGCAGGAGTACAAGCTACCGCGAGATCTTTAACATACGCTGTGTGGCTGGCTGCGTGGGGTTTTCCCCAGTGCTACCTTTTCACCAGAGATAGCTGCAGACCCCCCCTCTCCCTCGCCAGGTTCTCGCTGGACAGGGCAGGTTAAACCATCTCGGTGAGGAGCCCCTGGCGTGAAGTGGTGGAACTGGTTGTAACGTGAGCTGTCACCTCGGGGGAGTGTACCTATCTGATCTCTGTGCCGTGGAGACCCATCCAGCAATACCCACCCAGCCCGGCCCCGCTGAAGCCGCCGGGCCGGCCTCCTCGTCGCCCGGTGGACCGGGCCGGCTGCCCGCGGCGGGTGCAGGCCAGCCAGGCGTGCGGCCGCGTAGTAAACAAAAGCGTCCGCCGCCGGCCAGCATGGGAGGAGTTCTGCTGCCTTTGTTTGCACTGGAAGAGCAACAAGTTGTAAAGGGGGCGGGGGGAGCCGCTGAGCCATTTAAATTTGAAAACAAAACAGAAAAAAAAAAACCAACCCCAACCCGAAAACTTAACCCCAGGACAGAGCAGTTCAGCCAGTGGTTCTCCACAGCCTGACCCTGGGATAGGCCTTGGCATTTGGATTTGTTAAGGGATTCTTTCTTGTTTGTCAGGAAAACTGAGTACTGAGCCACATACTAGTGTCCAAGGCACTGTTACCCGTGGAGTGTTTTATTGTATGCCCAATCCCTTCCCTCCTAGCCCTGCATGGAGGATTTTCTTTGGCTTTTGGCACAGATCTGTGCAGGAGCCCCTCTGTCCTATGTGCAGTGACTCTTCCCAGCCTGTTGCTGCAGAGCAAGCAGCCTGCCTCTGGAGACACGAGAACTGGTTCACAATGTGTTGTGGTTTGAAAGGGGCAGTCTCTGGGACAAGGAAAACTGGGCTGTCATTTATCTTGCTGTGAAACTAATCCCTGATTTGGATGTCCCATTCCAGCTCATCTCAAACATTTGGTCAAAACCAACTTTCCAGAGTGGTGTCTTCAATCAGATTTAGAATACCGCAAAGTTAGTCACACCAATGTGGTCTTGTGAGGTCCTGAGAGAGAGCAAGCCTGGTTTTCAACAAGCTGTGCCTCTTTTTGGAGCCTAAAAAACATCTTATCTGTGAACGTGTGGAAAGAAAACAAGTGTGCCCTTTCAGTGCTAGTTAGGAAAAGCTTTCAGCATTGGAGTAATGCATCCAGCTAGCCCAAGAGTTGCCTTCTTATGGCTCTTGAGGTCTGTGAGACTGAGGCAGTTCAGGTACAGCTCCTGTTCTGCTGCCATAGCAGCAAGGCTGTGTTGACACAAAGGCTGCTGGTTAATGTACATCCCTGGCAGAGAGGAACTGAGCAGGCAATAGCTGCTGGGGTTGACATCACTAAGTTGTCACTGGACTCAGCCACATGCACAGTGTAACCCCAGCCCACACTGGGAACCCTGGAGAGTCACTGTTATCTCTTCCCTGGGATCCTGAAGCTATATGGTATTATTCTGTGGTTCTTGGCTATACAAAAGATTTCTGGGTATGCATCTCGTAAGAATAAGAGAGTTGGCAGCACCTATGCTTGCTTTTGGCATGTACATAATTTTCAGGGTTTCATTTCCCATTAATATATTAAACAGAACACAGTAGTTTAAAACCTGGCTTTTTCATCTTAAGATGCTGAATTTGTGATAGGAAGGACTTGAGCAACACTCTGTGTTCCTAAGTAGCAGAGCCCGCTACAGGTTGATCCAGTTTGCAAAGGGCTCTGCAGAATGACATGCAAGAACCATTTATGTCTTCTTGAGCTCTTTAGTACCTCTTACGTGTCTGAGGCTGTGCAGCTTCTGGCAGTGTTCCCTCTGTTGTGCTTTTCGCACCCTGCCCTGGAAAACAAAGGTAGAGCCAAGGCATGCTTTCTGCAGGAGAACCTAGTACCTGTCTGCTCCTTCTTGGTTTGGAGCAAGTGTGCCTTTGTTGTGGGATCTGTGAACTGCTTGCCTGTGGCTGAGCTTAAAGAGTGCATTCTGAGATTATGGAGAACAGAGCTGAATTTAGGGATCTGCTGGTCAGTTGGCTGGGATGCACTGCCTGTGCCACACTGGCTGTGGCAACAAGTGCCTGGGCTGTGCTTCAGGTCCAAGTACACTTGAGTTTTCTTGCCTTGACAAGGGGCTTCAGCCTGTGCTGGACTGATAGTGGTTTTTGCAGCATGATATGCTGCTAGATGGGATGTGAGCAGACAACCAGGGACGGCAGCAGCAGCGTAAAGCCGCCCCATAGGAGCACGAGGTTATACAAGAGCGGGGTGGATGACACTATATCAGAATCACACCCCTTCAATCTGACTTGCTCCATTGAGACACTGGAATGCTACAGGTTTTTCCAAATAAAATAACTCTTTCTAAGCAGGCTGCAGTTTTGAGGGGACTGCTTTTATCACATCTCCGTGGTGATAAGATCACTTCACAGGGAATAAAATTGTCTCTTTAAGAGCCAAGGAGTGGTAGCCTTGAACAGTTCTGGGCTCTGGTCCAAGCAGAGCCACTGACTTGCTGTATGACCTCAGACAAGTCTCTTGACCTCCTTGTGCTTCAGTCAACCCATCTGGAAAGCTTGGTTTAAAAAAAGCTGAGCCTCAATGAGAACCAGATGCTGAATCAGAGCTGAGCTTTCTTGAGTAAATAAGTGCATTACAAACAACAACAAAGCCCCTTTCCAACACATCAGGAATCCTGCAGTTGATTTAGTTATGCTGACCATGCTCAAAAATCCTGTGTGGATCTAGCTCTAGAAAACTTTGCTTCTCCAAATTCCCCAATTGATTCAGCAAGTAACTCTCTTGCTGTCACTGCTATGAGCTCAAGCAGTCTGTGGAGATGAATGCCCGCATCCACACAGGCTGTGAACAGTGAGGCATGTACCTGTTTGCCCCAAGTTAATGACACTGAAAATGTCCAGGAGGAAATGTTGTTTTCCTTTGAAAGTGAAACTTGATAACGTTTTGCATACTTTTTCCCCTTTGTCTCTCGTGAGAGTTATTGGGGCCTCCTCTGAGACACTTCTGCTTATGCAATGGGGAGCCCATGTCACTTGTCAGAAACCTAGTGGTGTGAGAGACTGGGTGCACAGTGCTATGTGTCTATCATTTATTCCAAACTCCATCAGGCTTTTCTCCATCATTTATTGAGGACACTCAGGGAATTTTAAACTTTTTTAAACTGTAATTGTTTTCAGGAAACTGTCCTTTATGATGACTTTACATTTTAGGAAGAGTGTTCAGAAAAACTTCCTAATAACATAATGCTCTCAAACTGTCCTGCAGTTGAGCCTGTAGTACCAGCAGCTCTATACTTTACTTGTACCTGCAGTCTCTTTGAGACTTGTGGTAAGTGCTTTCATTTTTTTCCCCGAGTAGCTCAGTACGTTTCAGGATCTTCTCTGCTGCTAGCTAATGCTTGCTGGCCCATGCTGCTGTGGCTGTGGAAAGTAGTGGGTCACCTCTTCAGTTCTGCTGTCTATGGGTTGCCCATCAGTGCAGGACTTGAATTACCAGCTGAGGATGCAGGAGCATGGTGAGGGAGAGTACCAGACAGAGAACTGCTGACGTGAACAAGCCCAGTTTGGAGGGCAGGGGTTAAGTTGGGTATGAGGTTGAGAAGATTGAAATGTAAAGCAAAGTTCTTGCAGGGACATGGAATTGGGATCCTAGACTTGAAGAAAGGAGTGTGCCATAGGGGGAAGAGGAATTCTCACAGTCAGTGGAGATGTGGAGACAGATTGGTTTGGGGTTGTTTGTGGTTTTTTGCTTAATAATATTGTTAGTTGGTTGTTTTTTGGTTT